TCTGCCAAGAGGCCAGCGGCTAACTGGGCCATGGTGGTTGCCTGTCAGAGAGTTGTCAGCAGCTGAATAAGCTGAGCGTGGCAGGGGCCTTGGCAGGACAAGTGTGGGGACGTTTTAGTGACAGGGAAAATTGACTTCCTGGCTCTGCCAGCTCTGCAATTGGGCTTCAGGGCGGGGGCGCAGGAGAGGGATCGATAGGATCGGCCAGGCTGCCTCTCCCCCTCTCGCCCCAGGCTCGGATTCAAGCAGATGCTCCCTGGCAGCCACAGCGGGAAGGCCGATGGGTGCCGCAGGCTCCCTGGGGCGGATCTCGGGAAGCTGCTGCTTCTGCCTCCCCCGGCCGGCCGAGCCTCCATCTGGGCCAGGTGAGCATGACCTGGGAGAATGCGCCTGGTGGGCACAGGCTGCCTGGCGTGGCTTGGCACCCAGTCGACCCACTCCTGGGGCTGGGCGGGGGACCCCGGCTGCAGGACAGCAAAAGAGGCAGTCCTTGTTTTCTGCCTTAAATCGCTGGTGGCGTTTATTTGGGCAACAGCTGCCTGTGAATTTTCTGCGACCAACCGTGCTGGTGGGCAAGGGTGGGAATCACGGTCTACCCCATTTGGGGAGAGCCAGGGTTGCCCCCTGGGAAGTCCCAGCCCCCTGCGCGTGAGGAGGGGCACCTTAGAGGCGCTGCACAAGTGAAGGGTGGGGTGGAAGGCCACAAATGCAAGCCTCATGCAGACCAAAGCTAAGAGGAGCATTCCCCCCACTGCAAAGCTGCGTTTGCACCACAAGCTTTGCCCATTTTCCGGGTCTGCATCCTCAACCCTAAACTAACCAAATGGGCTGAGTTGGCGCCGCATGCTACGCCAGAAAACTCCAAACCCAGCATCTCTGTGGCCAAGCTTTGCCCTGACCCCGTCCCTCTGCCCCCAGGTCCTCCTCCCCTAATGCTGCCCTCCAAGAGGTTTCCTCTGGCCAAATCCGACGTCTCTCTGCAGCCTGGAAGTGCTGGAGAGGCCTTTGGGAGGGACTCCCCCCATCCAATGGGCCTCTGGCACTTGGCTGCCCCCAGGACTGGCAGGCTGCAAAACAGCCTCTTCTCCACTTAGCCAGTCTGCTGGGAGGGGTGAGTGGGGTGAGAGAATCCAGTTGTCTTAAATGAGGCATTCCTCGTCCTAATAGGAAGTGCAAAGGGAGACCATTTGCTGCCTGGCCAATTAAATTAAACTGCATCCTTTTACATCCAGGCTTCTCAGTGTCCTTTTGCAGTAATTGCGAAACTCAGCAGGTCCTGAGGTTTGCGCAGCCTCTTGCCCTGGGCTAGGCAGACGGCGTATGTGCGTGTGTGCATAAGGTTGGGTGCAAATTGGGAACACCCAGACTTTGCAAAGCTCACGCGGTCAACTTGGGCTGCGTCACACAGTCTCTCGCTTTTGGTCTCCCTACCTCACAGGGTGGTTGTGCGGGAAACACTGTTTTGGGTTTCTTTGGGAAAAGGGCGGATGAAGAAGGTCAGCAACTAATTTGGGAGGCTTGGACAGGGCACGTATGTGATCACAAAGGTAAAGCCCCCAAGGCCACCGGAGTCTTTATGCCCACGTTGGAGATTTCCCCTTAGTTTTCTTGAAAGAATATGAGTCTAGTTCTAGACTTCCTTCCAGCACTAATCAGAGCTTTTCAGGAAGACGAGGCAAGGGCCTAGAATAGTAGGGTTGGGAGGGTGGAGGGCTTCTAGTCCAGCCCCCCACCCCCATGGAGTCACAGGGCAGATCGGTTTCAGGGGCCCTCGTGGGTCTCTGCTGAACTGCTTATGTGTTAATGATACCAGAGTTCCTGCGGATTTGGATCTCCAGTTGGCCCCCAAAGGCAGCCTGTGTTTCCCCCCAGAAGATCAGCCACGTGTCTGGTCCGGGGGGGTTGGGAGGGCATAGGAGGCAGGGGGAGAAAGAGGGCTGCTCCATCGTGCAGCTGGGGTGGTGGCAGAGGGCCCCTTGGGGAGGAACCTCGTGCACTTGAAGGCCCTTTCAGCAGATGTCTCAGTGGGGCCAAACGTTTGTGGCTCATTCTGCATTGCTCTGAGATGAGCATTTCTGGCAGCAGATGGCCCCCTGCCACGTTCGGAGCCTTCCCTTCCAAGTCCAGCCAAGCGGCTCCTTCCCTTCCCCTTCTCTTTCTCCCCCCTTGCAGACCAAGGTGGGGGGGGGGCTGGGGAAGAGAGCCGTCTGAGCATAAGCAGAGTTCATGGAAATCCTCGTGGGATTGTGAGGAGTGCTGAAGATCTGCCCTGGGGAAAGTTGAGGAAGTAAGGTTGGCACCGTCTTCTTCGAGCCAAGCTTGGCTCCTGAGCCGCCCGGGTGTCTCAGCCACAGCCTGGGAACAGGGAAAGGCTCCACCGTTGGGCTCCCAGTTTGGAGCAAAAGGGGGTCGTGTGGATGTGAAAGGAGGCCACGGAATCGGACACAGCGTAGAGGACTCAGACCGAGAACATTTCTCCTCTTTCCCAGGCAGGGAGATGAAGGGCCGACCGAGAAAGGTTTTTTGGCTTTGAAGAATGGGATTTGCTGCTGGCAACTGCATGAGATGGTCTGAAAAGGTGGGGTAGTGGGGGGGGGGGGGTTCATGGAGGATCAGGCTGTCCATGGCTGCTCTTGCGGATGGCTGTTGACTCCTTCGGCCATCCTGGGTCAGTGCCTTAAGCCCTGGCTGCTGAGAAGCAGCGAGCTTCCCAAAGGCACCCGGTCATCCCCTACAGAAGGCTGGGAGAGAGATGCCCGGGGCCTGATCCGGCCTCGGGCGCTTCTGAAGCCTGGCAGGGCCAAGGGCAGCCCTCTGCTCTGGTGCTGCTGCTGCTGCTGAAAGTACCCGCCTGGCCCAGCCAACGTCGGTGCCCTCTTTCTCTCCCCGCAGCAGATCCTCTTTCGCGGCACGCAGCTGCACGGCCTGGGGGGCTGTGGCGGTGCCCAGCCCAGAGAGCCAGAGGCTGTCCCTGGATGACGTCACTGTGGCTGATGGTTGGAAGTCCCCTTTGCAGACTTCCCAATCGCAAGAGCAGCAAGCCCACGTGCCAGAGGGAGGAAAAAGCATCAGCGGTTCTCGCGTGGGAAATTGTGCTTTCTCAGAAATGCTGTCAAATCATTCTTCAGCCTCGCAGAGAGAGGACAGCACGCCAAGCGGTCAAGCTGGGCAGTTGTTCCATGCAGAGGCTCAGCCTTGCCTCCCGCAACGCACCCCAGGAGCTCTGGGAGAAATTTATGGAGCACTTTGGCGACTGTAAACGGTTAGCAAGGAACGGGGAGATGCAGCCTCATCTCTTATGCTCCTCGCTGCATTGCACTGAAGTTTTAAAAACCCCTGGGGAAAACAAAACAGGTTTATTTTTTTCATTATATTGCAAATGGTAAGCCTGCTATAAAATTTACAATTGATTAACTGACATCAGTCCAGTGAACTTAGAAAGTGCTTAGAAAGGGGGAAAGAAAGAATAAGAGCATCTTCTTTCTGACAACGGCTTTGGTTCACTCATAATTCAGTATTTCGGGGCATCGGCTTCAGAAGGAACAGAAGGCGGTGCGTGTGCTCGCGCGGGGGAAACGAGCGTGGTTGGCAGGGACCGAGAGCGATGGCAGATGCTGCTGCTGTAGACTACAGTCAGCTGGATTTCCTTCCCTGCCACCGCCTGTCTTCAATCTCCTTCGCCCAGCTCGTCTCTCGCTCTTACTGCACTTGGCTTAACGTTGTGCATCCTGCACGGGAATGCTGTGATGGATTCTTGCTTACTATTTCACGGATTTTGTAACCCGCCCCAATCCACAGACTCTGGCTGGGGTACAACCCGGTACCAGTGCAGAATAAAAACACCAAGACAGACCCCGGGTGGCCACCAGAGAGACTTGGTCCTGGTCAAAAGCCTGGCGGAGGAGTGCTGCGCTTACGGCTTTCCAGAACGGGGGGGGGGGGCGGGAGGCTGCCAAAGGACGGGAGCCGCCACCAAGCAGGCCACGTCCCCCCTGCTGCGGAGAGAGGACCAAGCAGGCCTGCTCTCGATGGTCCTCCTGGATGGGCAGTTTCAACCTTGGCCAGGCAGTGCCTGACTTCTGCCTGCCTGCAGTCTCTTTTAGCAGATAACTAGTCCGTACTGAGTTGCTGGACAAGCTGTCTGCTTTGCCGAGGCAAAGGCAGCCTTTGGCCCCACCTGGCCCTTTCTCATGCTCTGGAAGGGCAGCTGCTTGCTTGCCTGCTGGTCGGGGCAAGGACCCTCTCCCCTTCACAGCGGCTGGGAGAAGGGAAGGTGGGCCAGCTCAGCAGACGTGTTGACCCCCTTATTAATGGAACCTGCCTCTTCCGGCCCCTCTCTGGAAATCCAACGCCTGAAGTTGCCCGGCGGGGGAGGTCAGTTGCCCTCGGCCGTTTGTGGCATCTGGGCAAGGCTTGGTTGGGTGCTGCTGGTGGGTCTTCCCCAGCAGATGGCCTGCTGTCCCGGATGCCCTCAAGCACCTGCTCCTCAAACCCCCTTCCACGTTGGGGGGGGCAGGCTGTCTCCTCTAAGGTGATTTTTAAGGTGATTAAGCTCAACTCTTGCCGTAGGGCACAGAGATGATTGTGCGGCTGGCGAGTCTCCTCATCTGTTCCTTTTCTTTCTCCGTTGCTTTGCCCTAGGACATCTTTACACCCGAGTGCAAATTCAAGGAGTCCGTCTTCGAGAACTACTACGTGATCTATTCCTCCACGCTGTACCGGCAGCAGGAGTCTGGGAGAGCTTGGTTCTTGGGACTCAACAAAGAAGGGCAGATCATGAAGGGCAACCGAGTGAAAAAGACCAAACCGTCCTCACATTTTGTACCCAAACCCATAGAAGGTAGGGGGGGCTTCCTTCACAGAGCACTGGTTTGGGGAGAGTGTCGGGGAAGTCAGATGAACAGGAATCTTTCGCATTCCTTGGTCAAATGCAGCTGGTCTCACTGACCTGAGTCAGCTAAAGCTCCTTGGCTCTGCTCTACACAAACGC